TTTGGCTAATAAAAACATTTATTCTGTCCTCACAGCTACTGTACTGTTCATGAATTCCAGTCTTTTACAGGCTTCTTTCAGGCACATTAGGTGCATTTCCAAGTATGGATGAACACGGCTATTACCACCTCACTACCATACAGCACAACAGCTCTGAGAGCCAACTTGTCAACACATGTTTAGATGTGGACCTTTGGTTTAAAACACCAAAAGCGGCCTCATGGCTCAGAAGTTCTGTCCCACCACCAGTCACAAGTATTCAAGTCATACACTTGTCTCTGCAAGCTGAGCTGCATCTCCAAACAGCTGAGTCTTCTGCATCCACCCAGCCAACATACAGGCTATTGCAGAAATCACCTGGTTGCCACTTTACTTTGCAGTTACAACCTAGTCATAGTCAATTTGTGCCTCTTCGTTCTCTAATAAAAAGTGTATATACATATATATACTCACCTGCATGACAGCTGAAATATGTTCACATATATAGGTGACCAGGAATAGTCAGCATGGATTCACCAAAGGGAAATCACGCTTAATCAACCTGATTGCCTTCTACAATGGGACAGATGGTTGCATAAACAGGGGAGAACAGCGGATGTTGTCTACCTGGACTTCAGCATGACTTGTGACACTGTCTCCCATGACATCCTCAGGAAGCGCAGGCTGGATGAGTGGACAGTGAGGTGGATTGAGAAGTGACGGAATGGCAGGTCTCAGAGGGTTGTGATCAGTGACACAGGGTCTAGTTGGAAGCTTGTAACTAGTGCTGTCCGCTAAGGGTCGATATTGGGCCCAATATTGTTTAAATTATTCATTAGTGACTTGGGTGAAGGAGCAGAGAGCCTACTCAGCAAGTTCACTGATGACACAAAGCTGTGAGAAGTGGCTCAGAGTGCTGTTGTCTGCCATTCAGAAGGACCTCAACAGGTTGGAGAGATGGGCAGAGAAGAACCTTCCAAAATTCAACAAAGGCAAATGCAGGGTCCTACACTTGGGAAGGCTGGGGGCCAACCTGTTGGAAAGCAGCTCTGCGGAGAAGGATGTGGGGTCCTGGTGGACAACAAGCTGTCCGTGAACCAGCAGTGTGACCCTGTGCCAAGAAGGCCAATGGTATCCTGGGATGCATTAGGATGAACATTGCCAGTAGGTCAAGGGAGGTGATCTGCCCCTCTACTCAGCCCTGCTGAGGCTTCACATGGAATACCGTGTCCAGTTCTGGGTTCCTCAGTATGAGAGACACATGGAGTTCCTGGAGCGAGTCCAGTGGAGGGCTACAGAGATGACTAGGGGACTGAAGAGAGGGTGTCAAGAAGATGGAGCCAGCCTCTCCTCACTGGTGCTGAGCAACAGGACTAGAAGCAATGGGCAGAAACTGGAACACACAAAGTTCCACCTAAACATGAGGAAGAACTCCTTTACTGTGCAGGTGACTGAGCACTGGAACAGGCTGCTCAGAGAGACTGTAGAGTCTTCTTCCCTGGAGATTTTAAAAAGTCACCTGGTCACAATCCTCAGTTATAAGCTGTAGGGGACCCTGTTTGAGCATGGAGATTGGACTGGATGACTTCCAATGGTCAAACCTCACCTGTTCTGCGATATACATTTAAATAGTTTTCTTTTCTTGGATATTTTTGGAAGGCTATATATCTTACCTTATCTCTCCTTTTTAGCCCGGCTAAAGACCCCAAGCTACAGGTCTTCTTAGATAAAATGCTCTCCTGACCCCACTATCTGCTGCTTTTAATTCCTGTGTTGGGTCACAGGTGAATTTTAAATGGTTCCAGCTTACGTATTTAGTTTCTTCTACAGTGGTACTGATATTTTGCTATCTCTGCTGTTAAGTGTCTTGTGTCTCATCTGAGAACTAAATTTTTTCTTTTTACAGCCTCATGTATTGATGGCTTAATCACCTACAATCAACTAAAACCTTGGGTCTTTCTCCTCCTCCGTCATTTTAACTGCTGAGCTTAGTTTCATTAGTCACTAAGTGTACTTTGTACCATTAAGTTCTCATTTCTGTAACTCCAGTCACTTTCACAGCAATTCAATTCTTGGGCAATACTTTTGATTTTTCTCTGCAGTGAGAGAGCTAATGTCCCATCAGCACATTTATTTAGTGCACCCTTACAAGCCACTAGAGTAACCGTCAACAACCTCTTTTGTGGCAGAGTACAGATGTCAATCACATTGTATTCTTTCCTTTAGCCAGGACTTCATCTGTGTACCAAGTTCACATTATGGACTGCCAAGATAACCTGACCTTTCCCATTTCCATCTGCAAGAACAACTGACATCAGTGCTACCCCAGCTTAGCAATATATGCCAAAACATTTAGATTTAACTGATGTTTCTTCAGAACTCTGGAAGGACTGCTTGCATAGCCTCTCGTTATGAGTCCATGGAGCCTCGAGTTATGCTTTTTTTTGGTCATCTTGTACTTCCAGTGTACTCATTTAAATCCTGTATTTGAGGAACAGCTGCTATTTCAATCTGTTTATGTGATTCCTGTAGTACTTGGTTTCAAACGCCTCCATTGTATATAGGAATAAAGACCCAGGGAATTATAATCATCGCTGTTGTTTGCTACTGACCACAGTTTTCTTTGCCAAATTAGAACAGTCAGTGGGGTTTCAGCAGTAGAGTGTTTTCTTGATCCCTGCTGTTTTCTGGGCTATCCTCCATACAGTACTCTATCAATTGCTGAATCCTTTATTTAATATTTCTCTTCCTCTATATTACTTTGTATGGTAACTACACAAATATTTTTCATCTTTTCCCCCCTCACTCTTCAAGTTAAAGTCATCAAACATGCCAATCTCAAAACAAGTTTATTAAGCCAAGAACTTACTGAGATGGCATCCACATATCAGGTATTTTCCTTTCTCTGAGGATCTCTCAAGTAGGTGTAAGACAGACACCACAGCTGCAAGCCACTTCTGCTCTGATAGAGCCTCACTCACTTGTGTGTTTCGATGTTAGTGCCTCAACACAAATTATACAGCTCAGTGAGTATCTACACCTTCATGCTGAGGTTTACAAGTCACTCTTGACTGTTGTTGGTCTGTAAAATGGTGCAGTCAAGAACAGAACTCATCAGGTGTTCTGCTCCAAAAAGAACCCACCAGTCCTTGTGACATTTACAATAATCACCAGAAGCATCAATCACTCCAATCCACCAGCAGGAAATCTGTTGAAGCACTTCTGTCAAACCACCAATAAATCTCTCACTTCTACAGCCACCTTGTTTCACATTCACAAACAATAGGTCTATTTTTGTTGGAATTGGGCAAACAAATTATAATAAAGTTGCTGGGACAGAAGTAAGGAGACAGAATAGTGCCCTAGAAACATGCTGAGCTAAGACGGTTTCACAGAGATACTGCAGAAGGACTGGTAGTGCTCCCATAAGATACCATGAAAGCGTTCCGGTTGGGTATTTAGTGAAGTGCCAAGAGACATGCCACTCAGCTTCGGGGTACCACAAGCACTGGAATGGAAATCTAATGTGGGACATGTGAAGCCAGGACAGCCAGACCAAGCTAGATTCCATAGCATTCGATCAAAGAATCCACCCTCAGGAAGACTTTATTTTCCTGGGTTCTTATCACTTCTCTATACTTAGAATATATAATAACTTGGAAGAGCTTTCAAGTTCAAGAAGAAGAGAGCCATTATTCCTGAATAATTCTTCTTCTTAGAAAGTACGGCAACTGTTCTTAGGGAAAGCCACTTATCCTGAAGAGTGATTATAGCTTATTCCATAACAACATCTTGCAGAACTTTGTGTATAAATAAGGCCTTGATGAAAGATTATGTTCAAGAGAACAAGAGGGCTGTTTGAAAAGCGCTGGCATCCTGTACTGCAGAAACCGATCCAATCTGAATTCCAACCACAGATTTCACCAGAAGGCTGTACTGAATTAGTCACTATTAACAACTGTATATATTTATTCTGATTGAAGGTAGTGGTTCTACACTGACCATACGACTTTCCTCAAGTACCACATGCCTGATGTCATGCACAACAGATGGGAATCCACATGCAAGTGGTACAATCACCAGCAGTGCTGCAAGTTTCTAGCTGCCAGATTTTAAGTTACAAGGAACTTCAACATGTGAAGCATAACCCAAAAGAATACCAAGGTAGTTCAGTACCAGCAAACAACCAAAGCAGAGAAATCGGTGAAGTGTTCCTGCAGCATAAAAGAAACACAGCTCCAAAAGTACAGTTGACAATACAATGGAGAAAAAGGTCTTAACAAAACATGATGCAGAGACTCCCCAAGAACACTGAAAGCAGTACGTTTCACTGCTCACTTGGTCATCTGTGTCACACCACATCTAAATTAGCTTGTGTTTAATTGCAAGCTTAGAGAGGGGCAGTTAGACTCTTCACAGCTCTTTATAAATAAGAGAACTGAAGTCTACATGTCACATCACTGGGCTTTTAGAGAGGACACCAAAATAATTCATTGACTTGCTCATAGTTATGACAAAAGTCTTTGTAATTCATAGAATCTCATGCCTGAATAATGTAACAAATATTTGATAATTCTAGGACAGCAGCTTTCAATCTGTTGGTGAACTTCAAGAGGTTCTTTAATGCTGAGGAAAGCAAGTATATTAGTTACAGCTCCCATCTGCAGTCACTGGAAACTTTCAGAAGTCCATAAATCCACAGAGACTGACAGACACTGCAGTAGGCATATAAGAAATAAAGGATCTTGAAATTCTAGAAAGACATGGAAAATAAAATGAGCTAATGAGATGCACTTCTAACAGCCTCTGAAGTTTATAATCAGCAAAACAAACACTGATTGTAAGAGACTCAGGTAAACACTGTGGCAAACAAAAAGAAGTGTTAGGAATTGGGATTTTTGGGCCCCTCGAGCACCGTGTCCCAGGCAGTGAAAAGTCATGTTATCCCCAGTGCCCTCAGAATAGAATGACCAAAGCTGTTATATCTCCACGTCATGTCTCCATGTAAAGCAAGCACTTACTCTGGTCGGCAAATCACCAGGTCCCCTTTGTTGGTGCCATATGCCAATCCCAGACCTGGCTCGGGCAGCCAGCGAGCGGAGTTTATGCTGACATGTCTTCTCTGGTCGGCAGGCATCGGGTACAGAACGTTGAAAACTCTCTGAAACAATAACAGGAGATTACTTGACAGGACAACACAAGGGAGGAGAGGCAAGGAGGCTCAAACAAATGTGAAATCACCCTGCAGCAGCACAGATGGCCATGGAGACATGTCACTATACAGGATGTTGCAAGAAACCATTAATTCAACAGTGAGAGTAAGCAGCTGCTAGAAATGTACATACACGTGCCCTTAAATATTTAATAGACTGACTGGTACACAGCTGTGAAGCAGAAGTAGTTCTGTCCCCAGGAGAACCTGCATGTCACTCAGTGGGTTGTACAGTCCTTTTATTCAAACTAATTAAACAAAATAATGGGGACAGGTAGTATAGTCATTATGAGAATAACACAAGTACATAAGTAACAAATGACTCAGTTCAGGTCGGCTTCCAACACCACCCATTCTATCTGCAGAAAGGTAAGAAGCTGAAGAGTTGCCAAGACTGCAGGTAGTTAGCATGGCTGCAAGCCAGTGCTTGCCAAATGCTGGATTAAGGCAGGTGAGTGAAAACCCTGTGCACACGAAGGTCTGCGCTAGCTTGGTTTCTGAAGGGTACTGCTCCTACTCCAGGAAGCTAATGCCTTCTGTACAGCGCAGTGCTTTCCTACACCCTGCCACCCAGCAACCAGAACTGGGTATATGATAACAGTCCATTTAGCCCAAAAACACATGGAAATCATAAAATCAAAGAATGGGGAATGGAAAAAGTAGTCAGTTTGGCTACCAGGAATAGACAGGGACAAGCTGCTTCAGTGTACTGGGCTATCAGGGCTTCAGAAGTGCAGGACTAATGACCTACCTTGGTATTTACAAGACCAAATTGTTAACAGAATTTCTGCAGAAATTTAGCTTGTATTTAAACCTGTAATCACTGCAAGTAACACAAACTTCGAATCCAGATTTTCAGTGGGATAAGTCCAAGCTGAAAGACATGATTTCATTAGATTTTTCTAGTGGGCAAGCATCCAATCATCCCAAAACCTTTCTTCCAAACTCTTCAGAAACAAGGATGGTGCTGGACCAGGAAACAGGGAAGGGAATGAAGGTGTGCTGGAACAACAGGATAAAGGTTGATAGGAATGCAGATCAACAACTACTGCACTGCTGAGGTGGTCTGAAGTAATAATTAGAATCCATTAGGATGGGATTCATCAGCTAGCATAACAACCCGGGACTGTTTTTCTCTGTAGCTCTAGTGTCCACCGCACATTTGGTCTGTCTGACAGTTTGAGATGCCTGAGTCAGAAACCATTTAACTGTATGCCCTCCAATACTACCCAGAACCTTCATCCTGACTGCTGGAATGCAAACAAAGTAAGTCAGAGCAAAACAACAGAGCTACATTATTTACAATCACCAGTAACACATGTAATTGGTTCCTCTGAGGAGGCCACATTAGAGGAGAAAATGTCCTTACAGATTTCTCTATAGGACAGAAGCTGGTCACTCTTTGCCCTGGCTATCGCTCAGCAGTTAGCGTATTCAGAGAAGCTCAGTGTTTGGATGGAAGGAACAGGTCCTTAGGGGTTTATCTAGCTCTTACCCATCTCTGCCATGACTGTCCCATTAACTCACACATATGCACCTTGTTTGCTGGGAAATTAGGGAGGGAAAAGCAAGGGGAGAAAAAGAAGGGGGGGGGGAAATCAGATGTATGATGGTAGCACCTGTTACTATGGAGATTATGGTGCATTCGGAGATGGGAAGACTGGATTTAGAGGAGGAGGAAGAAGGAGGGGAAAGGGAGGGGTCCCCTAGAGCTAGGAGCATAAATTTGTAAAATAAGCATTCTAAATATCTTAAAAACTGCAAGGGTCTTCTATCATATCCTTCTTTGGCTAGTCAGAAACAAACAATTTCTCCTGAAAATGGCTTTGCAAGGTACCACAGTTCCAGAAGCCACTTTCCTGGGCTAGCCACAACCTCCTCTCCACAGGCAGGTCATCTTATATAGCTGTTGTCCCACACGCTCTGTAAGCAGCCATGCCAAGGCAGGAGACTTGCTGGCTACAGCTGAACACCCAGGTGCTTTGCAGTAAACAGCACCCCATGGAAAGTGCTCCCCCAAGAACATGAGTCTGGTTCTGACAACTTGCAAGTGTTGGCTGAGGGCTGAATCTCAAAGACAAGATGGCTTTAAAATTCTGTGTCAGAATAGTTGCTTCATCATTCCACTCCATTCCATTCAATTCCAAACAGCTTGTCATGCTGAAGAGCTCCCCTCCCCTGCTGCTTCCCACTCCCACGCTAATGGGACAACTCCATGCAGTGTTAAGGGTGATGACATCCGTGCGTGTAGTAATTAGTACATAAAAGGAGAGAGCAGCTGTACTGGCATAATCACCACTCGCAGCAGTAACCAGGACCCAGCTAATCAATCTGATGCAGTCATACAGACTGTCTGCTGCAATTGCATCCATTAGCAAGACCCCCTACTCTATCCACAAAGTGGAAGAAAAAATTAAAGTTCCTTCAACATCGGCAGGTTCCTCTCTTCAAAGAAGGTCAGAACTCTGTCAGAAGCACTGTTCTCCATAGATCACAGCTAATTCCTTTTGGAGCTTTTTTGGTCTTTTTGTTTCCATTGCTAAATCTTATAAAGAGCTACCGAGATATTTCAACCAAAGTAGCCAGCTTGAAAAGATACCACAGAGTGACCACACCTCTTTGCCAGTGAACTGTTCATACTTTGTAACTCTAAACTTCTAGGAACAATAGGTTACTCCAGGAATCCTACACTAACATAATTCTTCAGCTTCTAGGTCAAGAGATTGCTGCCAACCCTCACACACTCTTAAAATTAACAAGACAAATGCATAAAGCTGATAATTCAACAGTTTCTTTTCATTAGGGCTGGCCCACAGATCAGTTGCAGGCCATGTGTGACAGCCATGTTGACGGCCAATGGTTAAGGAATCGGTTTAGAAATACTGATGTAAAAGTCCACTAATCTTTAAGGTGCCCACCACACTCTATCATAGCTTCGAGAGAGAGCTTACTTTTAATAGTATGGCAGTTTCATTTAAGAGGGATTTCATATTGCATCCACTTCACCAGCCCATAATCACTATCAGCAGTCACAGTAAGCTTCCATGCTCTTTACCATAACCAATGTCAAACTTGTTCTTAGCATCACTGCACTACTAATTCAATAATACGTAGCCACAGCTTTAGATGTGGTGCTCCAGCATTTTACAAAGTTGTCAGCTGCCTTTATTTCCAGATGCTGTTCTGAAATAGAGTTTTGAACAGTATGTTTCTCTAACTACAAACACTGTGAAGTCTGAAGAGTGGGAGCTTCAGAACATCCTTGTGGAAGCTTAAGCCCAAACAGGTAATGTATGTATAGCAATTTATGTATAGTTCTCTTCTTGGCAACAACGTAAACATATACATGTCATTTCAGTACACACAACAGGTCATACTCCTTCCCTTTAGGGCCACATGACCCAGCCTGAATTACACAGAACACCTGCCTGACCTGTGAATCTCTCACAGGAGATTCCAGCAGTTGTCTGTCATTTCAGGGACTCCATCTCTCCTTGAGTGCATGGGATGTCAGCAAGATTAAAAGTCTTTCTCTAGAAAAACCCAAACTGCCTAGGTAGCTAAGCTTCCATATAAAAGGAGACTCATACCAAGGGAAAGCAGAGCTCACAAAAGAAACAGCTGCTTGCTTCTATTCTACATCCCTGTAATCATGAAGTGTGGGGAAAGGTTTGGTTGAGTAATTTATGTCTCTATTTTCAAAGACTGCACTAGAAGCAACTAATCTTTTTGGTGTGCCTTTTCCATCCTCTCTGAACAGAAATGAGCATGTACATCGTGCACTAAACTCCCTGAAGCTCATTTCATCACTTTACAGCCACTTCTTCAATACTGATTTCAGCAGGGGAAAAGATGGCTCAAAGAAAGCAGGGCTGTAAGGCATGAAGAAAAGAAAAAAATAGGCCCTCAAATTATTCAGCAAACAAGCTACATGTGGAGTGCAAAGGCCACCTCAGGCCCACTGCTGCTGCTTCCCTTCCAACTTGTCAGTGCTGTCACATCAGTACTGTATCACCTGTCACAGCCACCAACTTAGGTATTTACTTATGGCAGAGCGCCAGGAGAGGCTGCATGACAATCAACAGCCTCAAGGTATCTTTCCCGAAGATCTCTTCCTTGCTGTCAAGCTGCTGCGTACTTATGTGGGAAGAAGGGGCCCAGAACACAACACATAAGCATAGAGCTAGACAGTTGATTTATACCTACCCTGGAGGCGTAAGAAAACTTTTTGCTAAAAGCCTCTGCTAAGTCCTAGTTATTGACCTATTGTTTCTGTTTTCCCCTGCCACTCTGTCCCAAAGCTGCTGCAATTTAATAACACTCTTCAAATTCCACCTCTCCCCTCCATTTCTAGGAAGTGGCAACATTAAAAAGCTGGACAGGGCAATCGCCAGGATCCTGTCAGTCATCAAAGTAGCAGCAGGCTACCCCAAGCATGTGCTACTGCTGCCAGTTGGCAAGAGTTGCTGCACCGCTCGCCTGATCCAAGCAGCACCGTGCCTGGCCAAAGCGGAGGCATCACATCATCTGCACAGCTGCCTCTTTGCTCAAGGCCTTCCCACCTCTAAGACAGCAATGAAAAGCAGGGGAGTGCTGAACACTACTTGTTTGGCAGAGCAGGACCTTACTTGTCTTTGACACTCTAAAAAGAAAAAAAACATGTTTTGAAGCTGGAGGAGAAGAGAAAATTCTGGCACAAGCAGGCAGGAAAACTCAGCAGGAACTCTTGCTTTTTATCTTTTTAAATTCAATAGAAACACTTCTGCTCTCAACTAGATGCATCGCCTTTCAAGATGCCAATAAATTTCAAGCCATTACCTTTGCTTAGCCCAGGCAGTAAGTTGGCTGTTATATCAGCCTTGATAAAGACTGCTTGGGAAGGGGGTGCAGCTGTTGTCTCATTTACATGGGGACAGCTTGTCATCCATGGAGTTCCATCCTGACAGCAG